AGTTTAAATCATAACACCTCATGTGACAAGTTGGTTAGTGTCTTCTTTTGTATATATTTGATTCAGATTCGAATCTCACATTTTACATCTATCTTTCTCAATTTTAGTTTAACTAGTTAATTTCGAGCCGAACATGAGCCGAACACGAACACAAATATTTAAATTGAGCCGAACACAAACACACTGTTCACGAGCCGATTTAGAACACGAGCTATTTCGAACGAGCCGAACACACGAGCTCAAGCTTGGCTCGTCTACAGCCCTAGACACATTTATACAGTTAATGATCTGCTTTACTAAACGCTACAGTTCAATTCTGAGCTGTCATTTGTTTGGGGCATTTACATACATGCCACCAATTCCTATATATTAATATATCTAACACCACAACTTTAATTTTTTACAATTATACCACCAAAGGTCCAAAACCATTCAAATCACATCAAAAATAAAAGGTAAAATAAATCTTTTCATGCACCGGGAAGGTGGCATGCATGTAGGAATTGACATCATATGTAAATACATAAAAATTGAGCAGCATTTATGTAAATCTTTCTTGTTATAAACCTGCTAGATTCAAGTAAGAAATGATTTGCTAGCTTCATTATTGTATTTTGGCAAAAGCAAAATGCAATCCCAATCAATTTCTGAATCTCAATCATCTAAAGATAAATTCCGAGTCAATAAGATTGCTGGGCAAAATATTCTCATAAATTAGTAGTCTAAACTCAGACGGTGATCGGAGGCATGCTATTAATAGGATTTAGCAATGAATTTAACTTAAATCCAACCAAATACCAAAAAAAAATTAAATAAAATCCAACGCTCGTGTTTCATCTCTTTCAAAACGGAAATCTGGATGTACTAAATCCGATTTATCAGATTTAAAACAGCCAAACATCGCCTTAAGAAGTTGGAAAAAGGGAACAATATAACACATTGTTTTTTAGGATTTCATCATCATCAGAAAGCACAAAAGTGCAATAAATAAGATTGCTGGGCAAATCAGCAAAAACAACATTTGCAGTAAAACAAGTTGAAAATTAAAAAAGGGAATCCCTGCATGTAAAAAAATGAGAAGTATGGCGTTATTTTCAGTACTTACATGGCCCTATGGCACAATTATTCTCAAGTTCCTCCATTTTAAAGGAAAGTGAAGAAAAACAGGTAGAAACAATACCTCTTAAGCATATCACCCTTCCAGAGCTGATGCTCCAGAAATGATCTCAATAAGTTCTGTAGTGATTGAAGCTTGGCGTGTCCTGTGAAAACAGACGTGAGGTGTAATGTTATAATTCTTTTTTTAAAGGGGAATTACATATCTAACACAAACTTTGATTTTAACATTTGTGCCAAAAATATCATTATTACTAACTTTCTAAAAGTGAAATATAGACTTTCATGTATTGATAAAGTGATATTAATGTAAATATCAAAATTTAAAAGTTAGATACGCAGATACATAAGAATTGGGCGGCATGTATGTAAATCTTCCATTTTTTTAATGATTAATTGTATGGCGTGAATCCTAATTGAGATGTCCAAATGATTGTTGATAAACCAAGAATATTGTAATTTGATAAATGATCATAAATTAATTGCTCATCGCTCTATTCAGGGCGAGTACAGGGTTTTGATTGGTATTTGTGAGATT